GGTTCGTCAGTTTTGAAGCCGCAACGAATGGTTTAAAGAAGAGCCAAGCGCAATTAGCACAGATGGTGATAGCCCAACTTGAGAAACAAGACATCGAACAAATTGCGGACCTGTTGTACAACCCACCAGCAGTCGACCAGTATAATTCACTGAAGGATCGTCTGATCTCCGCATACGAAGAATCCGACAGTCGACAGCTACAAAAACTTCTATCAGAAATAGAACTTGGAGACCAGAAACCCACACAACTCCTACGCAAAATGCGTACTTTGGCGCGAGATAAAGTTCCGGATTCAACACTACGGCTAATGTGGGTAAACCACCTACCACCACATATTCGATCGGTAATAGCAGTCAGCGAAACATTCAGCACGCAGACGAAGCTCGACGAACTGGCACTCCTGGCGGACAAGATGATCGAAAACAGCAGTAGCTCACACATATCGATCATCGAAGGCACTTCAACAAAGGCCAATGATACCCAGTTTCTTCTCGAAGAAATTCGGAAGCTATCATTCGAAGTCGCCGCGCTCAAAGCTTCCCAGCATCATACCTTTTACCAGCAACAGTACAACCAGCGCAATCAGCAACACCGAAGATCACCTTTTCGTCGCAACCGCTCTGCAAGTAGAAGTCGAATAAGCTCAACATCAAGATCCCCTTACTGCTACTATCATCGACGTTTCGGGGTCGAGGCAAGAAAATGCACAGCACCGTGTACATTCAAAAATGAAAATACGAATACGGAAAACTAACTAGTACGCTCGATGCGACGGGATCCAGCGTAACAGCAAAGTCCTACCGTCTTTTCGTCACCGATAAAAAAAGCAAGCTCACTTTCCTTATCGACACCGGAGCAAATATCTCAGTGTTACCGCCGAAGCAAGGACAGAAGTTGAAGCCACTAGATTTTCAACTCTATGCAGCAAACAATACGGTTATTCCTACATATGGAGAAAAAACAATGGAACTTGATTTTAATCTACGCCGACCATTCAAATGGAGATTTATCGTCGCTAAAGTCAGCAAACCAATCATCGGTGCTGATTTTCTTCAACATCACCAGTTGGTCGTCGACATCAAAAATAGAAGAATCATCGACGGGAAAACCAATCTTGCATCTCAGTCTTTTGTACAAGCAACCAATCTGCCCACAATAAGAAGCATAGATGTGCAACAACCGTATCACAAGATCCTCGAAGAATACCCTGGTATCACAAGAATAACTTCAATGAAATTAACACCGAAGAACGACGTTGAGCATTTCATCGACACCAATGGACCACCACTTCATTGTCGTGCACGTCCAATCGCACCACACCTATACGAGCAAGTTCGAAAGGAATTCGAAAACATGATTGAGCAAGGAATATGCCGTCCAAGCAAAAGCCCTTGGTCATCACCACTTCACATTGTACCGAAGAAGAACGGAGAATTACGAGTTTGTGGAGATTACAGAAGACTGAATTCTATTACCATTCCTGACCGCTACCCAATACCGCGAGTCAGGGATTTCACTCATCAACTATCAGACAAGACTATATTCTCCACCATCGATCTCAACCGAGCTTACCAACAAATAAGAGTCCGCGATGAAGACATAGAGAAGACAGCAATAATTACCCCAATGGGATTATTCGAATTCCCAAGAATGATCCCAGGATTAAAGAACGGAGGTCAAACTTTCCAAAGATTCATACACGAAGTACTTCATGGACTGGATTTCGTTTTCGCATTTATTGATGATCTCCTTGTTGCAAGCCCTGATAAAGAAACGCACGAAACCCATCTACGCACCGTGCTACAGCGATTAGAAGACAACGGAATCACAATCAACCCTTCGAAATGCATATTTGGACAGCAAGAAGTTCAATTTCTTGGTTTCACCGTCAGCAAGGAAGGAATAAAACCGCCTGCCGAAAAAGTCAGAGCAATCATCGATTATGCAAAACCTAAAACTATCGAAGAGCTAAGGCGTTTTCTTGGGATGATAAATTTTTACAGAGAACACATACCTAAAGCCGCTGAAATCCAAGCACCACTTCACGCCTACCTTCACAACACGAAGAAAAAAGATAAAACGTCAATCGAATGGAACGATGAAGCCACGAAGGCATTTGAAGCTTGTAAAATTGCGATCCAAAATGCAGCTTTACTCGCTCACCCATCACACGAAGCAACCCTTGCTATCTTCAGCGACGCATCCGATCTCTCAGCAGGAGCAGTTCTCCAACAATACAGCAATGGTAAATGGCAACCGCTTGGATATTTTTCGAAGAAGTTCTCCGATACTCAACGTAACTACAGTACATTCGACCGAGAGCTACTCGCTATTTACATGGCTATCAAGCACTTCAGAAAAACGTTCGAGGGTCGAAACCTGATCGTTTTTACCGACCACAAGCCATTAACATATGTACTTCCAAAGAAACCATCACTATCGGAAACACCACGAAGAGCAAGACAACTTATTTTCATAAGTGAATTCACGACCGACATACGTCACATCAGTGGAAAGGACAACATAGTTGCCGACGCACTCAGTCGCGTACCAATCGACAGTGTAACGTGCCCTACATCAATCGACTATCATAAGATCGCCGCAGCACAAGACAGAGATAGTGACAACATAAAACATCTATCGAAGCAAGGTAACTTGTCCATCAAGCAAGTTACAATGCCAATGACGCATCTACCTATATACTGTGAAGCCTCAACGACAACCATGCGACCATACATACCAGAAGAATGTCGTCGCGAAGTCTTCAATACACTGCACAACATTAGTCATCCAGGTGTTAGAACAACAAGAAAACTCATCACTGAAAAATTCTTTTGGCCTGCAATGCAAGCGGATGTTGGCAACTGGGCGAAGCAATGCATTCAATGCCAAAAATGCAAAGTACAAAGGCATACATCAAGTAGTCTAGCTACATTTCCACCCACGGAGAGATTCGAACACTTGCACGTTGACATCGTTGGACCATTACCTACTTCACCGCAAGGACATCGTTATCTCGTAACAATGATCGACAGAACAACAAGATGGCCAGAAGCAATACCTACCGATGATACTTCAGCCGAATCCGTCGCGAAGATAATTTATGAAAATTGGATTACTCGTTTCGGATTACCTAAAACCATCACAACGGATCAAGGAAGGAATTTCGAAAGCAACCTATTCCTCAAACTTCTTCAAACTATGGGAATACAGAAGACGCGTACAACAGCATACCATCCTCAGTCAAACGGAATAATCGAACGATGGCATCGTACATTAAAGACTGCACTCAAAACTCGTTTATCTCAACATACAAAGTGGATTGATGAGCTACCTACAGTGCTACTCGGACTACGAGCAACACCGCGTGCAGACACTAGTCTTAGCGCCGCTCAGCTAACCTACGGCTGCAGCATAAGGCTGCCGTGTGACTTCTTCAGTTCAGCAGCGTCAAGCAAACAAGAAATGGATTACGATTTCGTAACTAAACTTCGAGAATCAATTAACAAAGCCTTATCGTTGAAATGCACCGAAATGCAATCACACAGAAATAATAAATCAGTATTCATTCACCAAGATTTGAAAACATGCAAACAAGTTTTTGTAAGAAACGACGCAATGAAAAAACAATTTCAACCTACCTACGATGGACCGTATAAAGTATTAGAGAGAAATAGCAAGACTTTTAAACTACAAATACCCGGAAGGAAATCTACGATTATATCGATCGACCGACTAAAGCCAGCCTATATTATTAACGAGGATACTGCAGAGGATTCATCATCATCATCAAAACCACCAGCGAGGAAGCTTGAAAATTCATCATCTACATCAACCCAGTTGAAACCTATTTTAAAAACTACGAAATACGGGCGAGTCGTCAAGCCTCCGGTACGCTTTCGCTGGGGGAGAGTGATGTAGCAGCCAGATTAATCAAACCGAAACGGGAATAAATAATATATACTCCGCTGCTACCATAACGCGGAAGGCGAGAATAAATTTTATTTCCTAATTATTCTTGGCTACTGAGATACTGCGGACTGTATATAGATAATTTGACGTTCTTATAAAGAAACAAGAAGCAGCCGCAAATATCATTCAGCGCCACACCGACTTCACACGCCGCTATCGTCACGTATCCGTCGACCAATGGTGAGCCGTTTCTTCAACGCCGCAGTTCGTTTCCTCTTGCTGTTCCGGAGCTGTATTCCACACCGCCGCCGCCCGCCGACTACGCGTGCGCACCGATCTGCATGTCTTATATAGCCCGGTCCAGCGACGTAGCTTCGTGAACAACAAACAAGTCTCACGCCGGGAAACGAAACGTAGATAATTGTATATTTTAAATAGTTTTCATTGGTCATAAAATAAGCAATATAATTGGCTAGGCAAAATATTAATTGTTACCATTGGCAAATCAATAGTGAGCCAGCCATATAAATATAGGCAAGGTTGATGCAAAAGATATTCCATTCCGAATCCCATTCGACAGTACATTCATAAACATAAACAGTAGTTTCATTTCTCCACCTTAAAGAAAACCACTCGGAGTCTGTTAATAGTGGACAGTTCGTCTCCACTATTACAATATCAACTTCCCCCCCCCCTCCCCCTGGACCTCGTCTGGTGACGCCCTTGTGCGGACAGTGATGGATTTATAAAAAAGGCACACTAGGCACTGGTCTATCGCATCACCGCAGCGAGGGCATTGTTGCTTTTGGCAGAAAGATCTTTCTCATAATTAAAGAGATTAAAAATCCTTGTCGTACTGTGATAAAGCAGGAAATAGTGGAAAGATTTTGCATTGAAAGTGATTTGCTACGTGAAATCAATTTTGACGATGTTATTATTAACAGGACTTTAAACGCTAAAGTATATTTCAAAAATTTTAACTATTTTATTTCAAATAAAAATTATTATAAAATAAAACACTAGGGCACCTTTTGGTATTAAAACCTAAGGCACCAAAAAAGTTTATTCCGGCGCTGTGTGCGGTGATTTATTCGGCAACCGTAAACGAATTAGTGCAGGTTTCCTTGGCTTTTCCTAAAAAAAAAAAAGTGATATTTTATAAGTTTTAGTTGTATAGGAATCCAAGTTAAGTTTAAACATGGGTTGCTCGTGCACTCTGAAATTGGAGGTGGTACTTTGATAAGCAAAATGGCATCGTGTGTTGCCATTTGCATGTGTTGACATTTTAATTAAAGTTGTTTTAAAGTTAATTCATGAAATTAATAACGATGATATTCAAATTAAATTCAAGTAATGTGTATTATCATTTTTATTCGTACCAATATCTTATGTATAATTTATTGGGCATTGACCCTTTAGTCGTATGTAACAAGGAGTGATTTTTCTTATTCACGGTTAACGTAAAAATTAATATTAATATATTAGAAAAATATTAATATTAATTTTATATAAATATTAATATTTTTCTATTTTAATTTAAAAATTAATATTAATATAAATTAAATTTTAAAAATATTAATATTAATATTTTAGAAAAATATTATTATTTATTTTTATTGTCGTTATTTTTTAATGCTAGCTTGCATTTTTATTTATTAATAAAATATTTTTCAAGATAATAATATGTATTAATCGTATTGAACTATGTACAAAGTGTAAATAAGTTTAAGTAAGTATATTTATATATCTGAAAATTATTAGTACCGTTTTATGGACGACTTCCAATAAAAAAATGTGCCAACTGTGTACGTTTTATAGAATGTGGGTCACAAACGAGAAAACAGTCCACCTGATGGTAAGTGAATGCTGTGGCCTGTAGACGATGATTTTATACGTGGTAGAGCCATGCTACAGTTATATGAGTTGTATAGTTGTAGCACGAATGGGTCGGCTCTACTGGGGAACTACTACGCTTTCACAGAATACCAGCGTAAAATAGTAGCTTAATGCTGCTGTGTTTCTTATGGTGAATGTAGAGAACCGGAGACCCTTCTTACTGGAAACGAATGCATTTTGATTCGTAATCGAGGATACATGTAGTAGTAGATGATGTAGTAGTAGTAGATGATGTACAGGTGGACTGTGTGCTCTTTTGTTACATTTATCTCAACCTACTCTTCCATAAAATAGTATATCTTCTCTACACTCACCATACGAAACACAGCAGCATTAAGCTGCTATTTTACTGATATTGTGTGATAACGTAGCCCCTGTCCGGTAGATTCAACCCATTTGTGACTTATTCGTTATAATCTCTAGATTACACTAGGAATGTTATTTTGTACCATATCTAACGGGAATACTGAGAAGCTGACAATAATAATAATAATAATAATATAATAATATAATGTTTATTTCTCCTCACAAATACCGACCATACATAATAAAAGCTATATATATATTTAAATACAGGTATGTTCACACTCATAGAATCTGTGAAGAGCTGGTGTTTGAGATAGGCAATAAAATGCCTGTATTACAAATCACCAGGTCTCCACCCCATGAGATATAAATAAGAGCATTATTTGTAATTGACCGCTACAGATATTGTAGATCTTAGGATCATAATGTATTATTAATCAATGATATATAATCAATGTCAATATATATATATATATATATATATATATATATATATATATATAAGTGACATTTTAATTTATATGTAAAACAAAAATTGTACTATAAAAAAAAAGATAAATATAAAGTAACAGTGGTTTCGTAACCTCAACCTCATATTGTGTGTGTGTGTGTGTGTGTGTGTGTGTGTGTGTGTGTGTGTGTGTGTGTGTGTGTGTGTGTGTGTGTGTGTGTGTGTGTGAGTGTGTGTGTGTGTGTGTGTGTTGTGTGTGTGCGCGTTTATGTTAACATTTTTTATTTATAGAGTAAGTCTTCTGTACGGTTATAATCCAATTTTTTTAACCACTCCGCTACAATAAATTTGCATTTAGTTTTCGTAAGCGAGTATATTGATAGTTCCTTATTCAATTTATTATAAAGGTTACTACTTTGGTAACAGAAAAATCGACGTGTAAGGCTACTTCTGTATAAAGTAATATTGCAGACTTTATCCTTGCGGCGCTGATTCCTAAATATCTCTGGTTCATATTTTAACTGGGACTGTTTTTTAAGGACGGTATATAAAATGTAAAGCTGGCGTACAGTCAGGACTTTCCATTTTTGATAGAGGTCATACGTTGGATAATCAAATGGTAGGAACGAGCTCATTTTTAAAAGTGCTCTTTGGGCTCGTTCAATTTTCAGTATATGTGTTTTACAGGCACCACCCCATGAAGTGATACAGTACATGAGTTGAGACTGGCAAAGAGCGAAGTAAACTGATTTTATTACTTTTTCCTGACCCACATATCTCAAGGCCTTAAATATTACCATTAATTTGCGTATTCTTGCCGTTAGAAGGTCAATGTGATAGTGAAAACTTAATTTATTGTCAATCATTACACCTAGGTATTTAGTTGAGTCTGTGTTTATAAGTTTTGGGCATGCACAGTTTGTATCATTGGGATTATCACACAAGTGTGAAACAATTCGATGTGTAGGGTCAGACTTATAAGTATTTTTAATGGAAAAAGTGATATAATTTGTCTTTGAAACATTGAGGGTTAAAAGGTTCTTGTATAACCAACTCGTTACAATATTCATTCCTTTTTGAGCATTTGAGAAAACCTCATCCCATGTACTGCCACTGAAAAGAAGGACCGTGTCGTCTGCAAAGGTAATTATTTTTGCATTTGGGATTTTCATCTGACAAAGATCATTTATGTAAATGAGGAAGAGAGTTGGACCTAGAATACTTCCCTGAGGAACCCCAAAATTTACAGGGACTTCTTCGCTAATGATGTTATCAATTTGTACACATTGTGTTCTGTCTGTTAAAAAATCTTGAAGAAGTTTCAACTGGATGTCTCTGATACCAAGGTATTCAAGTTTTTTAACTAAAATTGGGACAGAGACTGTGTCAAATGCCTTTGCTAAATCTAAAAATATACCTATTGTTTTTTTCTTATTGTCAAAGTCATTAACTATGTAACTTGTTAGTTCGAAAACCGCATCTGATGTAGATCTGTTTGCTCTAAAGCCAAATTGTGCATGTGATAAAAGATTCTTATTTTCCAAATATTTTACTAATCTATTATTTATAATGCGTTCTAAGATTTTTGAGATAGTAGGAAGAATAGAAATTGGTCTATAGTTATTGACACAGCCTCTGTCACCACTTTTGTGAATAGGGTGGATTCGTGATTTCTTATATATCCTCGGGAATACTCCAGTTGAAAGTGATAAGTTGTAAATGTACGCTATCGGAAAGGCTAGAACTTCCCTGTTTGCTTTTAGGGTCTCACTAGAAATTAAATCCAGGCCAACAGAGCAATTACTCTTTAGACCTGTTATTAGGTTCCTTACTTCATTCTCATCCGTTAATTGAAGAGTAAAAGAGTGACAGCATGAATTTAAAACATGGGTTTGGACTGGGGGCTTATTTTTATACAGGTATTCAGCTAAGTTTCTTCCAACATTTGCGAAATATTGGTTAATACCATTTACCGATGCTTGCGGATTGTTTGTATCTATTATTCTAACGGAATCTCTTTTGGTTTATTAGTATAAGTAATCTCTTTAAGAGCTTTCCAAAGTTTTTTGTTGTCTTTTCCTGCGTTTTGAAGTTGAAGTTTTTCATAGTTTCTTTTAAGTTTTTTTAATAGGGATGAGCAATAATTTCTGTATCTCTTATAAGTAGTTTTAAGCGTCTCATTATCTGGGTCTTTTTTTAGTTTCTTATTTAGGTTATCTCGATTTTTCAAACATTTTAAAACACCTAGAGTTATCCAGGGCTTCAAGATTTTCTTACGTCTAGAAATTTTGACTTCTCTTGAGTTTGATTTAATAGCTGATTGAAGTATATTGTGGAAATAAACAGCGGCTTCGTTAACATCTTTGATCTCGTACAAAGAATTGAAATCCTTATTTTTTAGTTCTGTGTTTAAAAGTTCGAAATTTACGTATTTTAATACTTTTGCAGGTTTTTGTTTAGAAGAAGAAGCAATGTATAAGGCAACACTATAATGATCACTTACAGTTGTTTGTAGGATGAGACAACGAGCTTTCAATTTTGTCTTTAATATAACATGATCCAAGCATGTTCTATTATGTGTGGGAAAGAAGTACGCAGGCAACATTCCGTGAAATGCCATCATATCTAAGTAAATAGGAAGATTTGCATCTCTGCTTTGTTTAGCTATGTTAATATTAATATCACCTAATAATATGACATTTCGCTTACTTGAATATTTAAGTACTATAATATTAAGGGATTGAAGAAAATTATTAATATTCTTGTATCCGGGAGGTCGATAAACAGCAATAGCTACAGTATCTTCCGACACATAAATAGGCTTTGCGGCACCATCCATATTGAAACTCGCAGTGCTTAAACGTCCGGTGTTCATTTTGTTGTAGGTTCTTGTAGCTTTAATAACCTTTTCTCTTTTAACAGTTGATGTGAAATCGACGATGATAGGACCGTTTGGTTTGTTTTTCAGCTTCATCCGGAACACATCACGAATTTCCGAATCCTGAATCGGAACGTTTATTACTGTGCCGAACTTTTTTGTAAATTCAATTAAATTTTCCTTGTCCTCGGATTCAAAGATCGGAACATTTCTTATTTCAACTGTGGTTGTTCGTGCATTTTTTTCTAATTGTTCAAGCTTCCCTTCTAGTGTTTTAATGCGGTTTTTAAAAAAGTCATTTTCTTGTTGAAGTTTTTTTAAGTTATTTAAAACATCATCATATTTAGCGGACAAATGTATAACTGTGTCCTTGATTTCGTCATTTTGCTTTGATAAGGCGTTCATGGATGACTCCAAAGAAGCGAACTTAGCATCTTGCAATTTATTCATTTCATCCAATCTTACCATTAGGTCCGCTAATGTTAAATCGGAGGTGCTGGGTGGATTATTTAACCGGCGTTTAGATCTTTTTTTAATATTAACATCTATATTATGTTCATGGCTCTCGAGGGTATAGATAGCTGAATCGGATCCATAGTGTGTGGGAGAAATAGATTTGTAACTGTTTTTCGTAGGTGTGCGTGCAACTGACATTTTGATAACTTAAAAAAAAACTTTAATAAATCTAAATTATAACGTTGTAGTAAAATAAAATATTAATTACTTTAGACCATACACCAATATTTACCCGCTAGCCGCTGACGCTTATAAATTGCGACACGCGACAGTGCGAGTATGCGTGCAAAGTAGCGTTAGGATGCGTTCGTTTTCTCAGCTCTCAGTGGTTGTTGTCTTGCTCGCGCCGCTTCACTGTATTAGTTGATTGTTTTGACGCACTGTTTTATGCGCGCCTAGTACTTGGACAAAATTATATCACTTTTATTTATTTTAAAAACTAATTTATTTTTTAAAATAAACACACACGCGCACACGTCTTAACACTGTTGCGGTCCAGGGGGGAGAGGACAAGGGCAATAGTACAATCAAACGGAAATCTCACTTTAACCTAAAATCTTATATGTGCGACTGTATATTATTTTTTATGGGTATTCTATGTTATAAAAGTGCACATTTATATTAAGAAAAAATAGCATAAAAGCTTGGACAATAATTAGGAACACATCTGAAAATGAATTTAAAAAGAACTAACTACACTACACCATAATAAAATCGACTAAAATATTTACTATAATGTCTATTGTCAAAATGGTGTCGATGAATCAGCGCCCTTTTGACCCTTTATTATGAAGAGCCATCGTATCACAAAGCCATCTATGTAAAAAAGACTGTAGTTTTTGAGTTATAAGAAAGTGACCATATTAACCGAATGACCATATTACCGTCACGTACTATATAAGTATATAATAAAAAGTTGTAAGTTCTTCAAAATCTTAAATACTACTTGGTGGATCCTCCGAAACTACTAAAGGAATATTTTATTAGCTCCAGAGAAAACAGTTCCCGAACCGGTCATTATATGTATTTATTCTTAATTGTATTATTTATCATGATACCAGTTAGATTTTCATAAAATCTTTTTTATATGTTAAAACCATTAAACTACGTTAAAATTTCTAGTGGACCCAAAAATGATTGTCTCCTGTATATTTTTTGGGATTTTGTTGTCTGGGATGAACACGCTTGTCCGAATATCGACACTACGGTGATAGTTTTAGAGTGTGTAAACGGAATAACCGTGTAGGTATATAGAATAGTCTTTTAAAAAAAATTAAGTGACTAATTACATGCAAATTAAAAAACATTGATATACACAATGTACAAAGAATAAACGTGTTTCATTAATATACAAATATGTATAATATTAAAGCTTTATATTCCAAACCAGTCATCGTGGAAATTCCTGATTTGTTTATTTCATTTGTATAAAAATATAAAAGCAAGCATTATAAAATTGCGGGGATCGTGACAGGCCGGGGGCTCTGAACTTGTGCTAATTGTGCCCTTAGGTTCAAGACGTATGATATATATAAGTGCACATAAGACGTTTTAAAGGGATGTAATAACTGGCGATGCTTAGAGATAATAAATGGTGAAATTCCCTACAAAATATAAAACAACACTCTATTAAACTTAAACAAAAATAACAAGGATTTTGTGGATCGCAGATGCATTTTACAAACATTATGAACTAATTAGATCCTATCCTATCATCCTAATATCTTCCTCAGTGTCCATATATACCACTCTATTTATGCCTTCACCGATGTGTTCCAGTCTACACCATTTTTTTATAGGATAAGGATGACAAGCGAGCACACAGTCCACCTGATGATAAGTGGTTGCTGTGGCCCATAGACATCTTCATCTATCCTCGTTGGCGAATAAGCATGCAGATCGTTGTCAGCCTTGAGGACTAAGATGGAATGCCTCTTTTCCAGTAAAAAGGGTCTCCGGTTCTCTACACTCACCATACGATACACGGCAGCGTTGAGCTGCTATTTTACGCTGGGATTCTGTAAGAGCGTGGTAACTATACAATTAATATAGCTGCAGCGCGGCTCTACTACGTTTAAAAGTAGAGAGCCAGTATAATTACTGGTTGTGAGGTATTCCATCTTAATCCTCAAGGAATACAACGCATATGTAGGCTTCTCTGTTGAATTTAGTAGCAGGTTTTCATGGGCTGCGATAGCCAGCAGGTGGACTGCGAGTACTTTTGTAACTTCAATATTCTAAATAAAATAACATGGACACGCAACCTGACTACGACAGTTATTCGTAAGGCGAACAATATTTGTGCTGTGTAGGATTCGAACCCATGGGCCCTCGACGCCATTACTCAACTCTTTGACAGTATCGAGCCTCCAAATCTCATAGTATCACACCTGTAATTTCCGAATGGGTTGGCAGAGTCCAAAGAGCAGTGAGACTCTTGGCACATTCTTTTTTACTAAAGGTCCTACATTCCTGATGTTGATACGTGGTGGAGCCACGTTGCAGCTATATTTTGTCTAAATCAGTTACTGGGATTTTCAGTCAGGAAATTCGCTCCCTTGAGATAGCCGTCGTTAATCGTAATTTGGCCTGGAGAGAGGTAATATCAACTGTAAAATTACCAGTCTGCAAAGGGGGAGAGGAGCGTTAAAAGTGACTTTTATATGAATAATAACTAAGTATTATGGTATTGAGGATTTTAATCATGGTGATGTTGAGTGATAAACCTCGGTATTTGTTCGCAGTAACTATACCGCTTCTAAGCTTTGGTATGGTGCAAGGATGGCTATCACCAATGATCTCAGTGCTGCAGTCGCCTCAAGGACCATCCCCGGAGCCGTACACCAGCACGGATATATCCTGGATGACATCGGTTACCTATATTACTGCCATTATTTTCGGCGCACCTATGGGGTACCTAACGGATAGGTACGGAAGAAAAATTATGACCTTGATCACTACGTTTTCTCTTATTGTGAGTATAATTATTTTTATCGAGCATTGTTTTTCACTAATTTTAACCCCCGAAGAAAACAAAGGGGTGTTGTATGTTTGTATTGTTTATGTTTGTCTGTCTGTGGCATCATATTTCCTGAACGGATGAATCGACTTTTACTAATTTTTTTTCGATAGAAAGGTGTCTTAATCAAAAGTGTTCTTAGCTATGTTTAGAAAAAATCTTTTCAGCCGTTTGAAGATCATCACCTCTTCTTTGTTTCGTGGGTTTTTAAAATTTTCTATTTATTATTATTGATGCAGTTAAACGGTTCTAATCGCGGTGACATTTCCAAACCCTAATATTATTATAGTCAAAAGTTCTACAAAGAGGTGTCACAAAGAACGGTATAACTTCCTATATAATTAAAATTGCGTTACATATTGGATAATCAGCTTAGTGTTTATATTTTTCTAAAGATGACCTATTATATAACCTTTGACACTTGATACCTGTTGAAAACTTTATGTTTTTTTATTATATATTTAATAAGGTTGAACTGTGGGTTTTTTATCGCTTCTTACAAGTTCTCAAGGTCTACATGGTTTCTACATGGACTAGAAGCCATGACGTAGCTTTTATGTTTTTTCAAAAAATGACCTCGACTTTGATTTAAATTAGAAAAGAACCGCCGCGGCAAGCACTAAGCGCAAAGTGTTCGCAGCTAAAAGTAGTTAGTCGCCAAACGGGTTCGATTCCCGCCGGCACCAATAAAATTGTAAATCTAAGCGTTAATTCACCAAGTGCTCGGCGGTGAAGGAAAATATGTTGATGAAACCTGCATTTCTGAGGAGTAAAAATAATTTGAAGACGTGAATTCTACCAACACGTGGGTACAGAAAACCAGTTAAATAAAGGCTGTGAGGGATTTCATCTCAGCCCTCTGAGCTGACAAACACATCCGTTCTTCTTTTTTATATGGGATAGGGTGACAAACGCGCACACAGTCCACCTGATGGTAAGTGGTTGCTGCGGCCCATAGACGTCTACATCTATCCTCGATTACGAATCAAAATGCAGATGCGTTGTCACCCGTGAAGACTAAGATAGAATGCCTCGTCTCCAATAAAATGGGTCTCCAGTTCTCTACAGTCACCAAATAAAACACAGCAGCATTTAGCTACTATTTTACGTTGGTATTCTGTAAGTGTGGCCTTCCCCGGGCGAGCCGACCCATTCGTGCTACAACTATATTACTAATATAACTGCAGCATGGCTCTACCACTTATAAAACGTCTTCTTTGTTTGAACTTGGCTGCAGGCAACCGTTAACTGCAGTACCCACTTACCATCAGGTGAACCGTAAACTCATTTATTACATTAGTTTGGGGTTTCTTTTAGGCTTTATTTGCACACTAAATACATAAACGCGAACTTAATGCAACAAAGCAGTGTCTACCAGTTCACCTCCAGGCTAAACAGAGAAGATATTATGGGTGCAAAGTGCAAACAAATACGTTAATAATATCTATGTCCACATATGTGTAATACGAGTGGTAAAATTAAAAAATTGATACAACCAACTTCAATACGACCGAGTCAATGTAAAAGTAAAAAAGTAAAGTTACAGCCTATATACGTCCCACTGCTGGGCACAGGCCTCCCCTTATTTTTGAGAGGGTTTTAGGACAAGGAATTGTCCGCCGCGCTGCCCCAATGCTTGTTAGCGAACTTCACATGTCTTCGAAATATTTTTTTCTCTTATTCCTCAGACATGCAGGTTTCCTCACAATGTTTACCGCCGAGCACGTGGTAAATCAGCACTTAAAATTGCAATTAACAATTTCATTGGTGCCGGCGGGGACCGATAATTAACTTTGAATAAAGTCAATGTATTCGAAGTTAATTAAATACGCATTATGAATGATAACTCAAAAACTACTTGTCAGATTTTGAGTTATCATATATTTATTCTATATAAAGCACCAGCTTTCAGATAAAAAAAATTATCAAAATCGGTTCACCCAGAGTAAAGTTATGAGATACCACACATAAAAAATTATACGTGCTAGAGCCACGCTGAAGCTTGTGGGTTCTCGACCAAAGAACCACGCTCTCACAGAATACCAGCGTAAAATATCAGTGTAATGCTGCTGTGTTTCGTATGGTGAGTGTAGAGAACCGGACCATCTTCGTCCTCAGGGGTGACAACGCATCTGCGTTTTGACCTTAGTGGAGGACAAATATATATGTCTATGGGCGACAGCCTCCACCTACCACCAGGTGGACTGTGTGCTCGTTTGTCATCCCTATTCTATAAAAAAAATTGTCATCCCTATTCTATAAAAAAAACATACAGTTGAATTGAATACCTACCTCCTTTTTGAAGTCGGTAAAAATGAACGCGCTGGAACATTGTGGCAGACTAATTCCTTCATAATCTTCTTAGCAATGAGAGGATGCCTGTGCCCGGTAATTTATATGAAAAGTGGTTCTTAAGTGGCAACTACGTACTCTGGTTGGAGGAGTATAGGGCGTCTCCTTCCTTACCAGCAGTAGAATTTAGATGGACTATAATGATTGTGATGAAAGTAATAATATAACTATCTAAACTTAGTTGCCTTCAAGGAGAAAAGTTGCCTACAAGAGTAAGAGTAAAAATTTAATTGAAGAAAAATATATTGGTTATTTGAACAATATTGTTTAAAAACACAGCAATGTTTTTATGGATCGAAACCAATTACTAGAAATATGCGTTCACGTATTGTTTTAAGAATGTAATTTGTTTTGTTTTTAATTGAGCGTAAAAGCAGGTGCGCTGGGCACATTAAAACTTTTTCTTATTATTTAATTCAATGTAATGAATTTTGGAGAAGTAAAAATTTACTATCTAAGATCCGCGTGTAAATACGTCCTTAGAATAAAGAGATCCTCCAACCCTCCCACAATTGCGTGCACTATTACTGCCACTACTAAAACCGTACATCGTTACTCCTAAAACTCTTGCTCTCATCAACACTTTGAAGGTGCTCTTTGGTAAGAGACGCCATTTTATTTTCCATTAGGACCTTACTGATTACGAATCTGACATATTAACAGCAAAGACTCCATAATATCACATTACCAGAATTCTGCTTCGTTAAGACCATTAAACATATCAGTAAGTAGGTATATGTAATAGGATGAAATAGTATAGGAACGTCATGCTCCAATTGGTCTATAGAGACCTTCAAACGTTTTCTGTCATAAGCAGGACTAATCATTCAATAAAATAAAATTATATTACAAGTTATGAAACTTGATTACGACGACAAATTATTGGCTTGGGAAAGAAATATAGATATATCGAAAAACGATGTACCGTTGATACATCGATATTCGATATTTATTTTAGAGTATCGAATTCGTATCAATTTCAATATATTTTAAAATGTTGCCAAACACATGAATGCTTTTATAGCTGCAAAAAAGCAGCTATAAAAGCATTCATGTAGGTATCGTTGTAGTTTTTTTAACATCATCAAAAACATGACGATATATCCATGTTTATCACGTGATATATATCGATACTGTTTAAAAATAACAAACAAAAATATATATATATATATATATACACAAAAAAATAAATATATATATATATATATATATATATATATATATCGATAGTTTTTTTTCACTAGCCCATCCCTAGAACTCGCGGCGCAGCAACACTACAGATGGTACCGGCCGCGATCAACTACGGTCGTAGATACCGTAATCTGTCTTACTGACACCAACAATGATTTAGGTCTATATAATAATCAACGATGATCAATTCTTTATACATAAAGAGGGATAATAAAACTTTATTTATCTTACAATACAACTATCAACTATGATTACAGGCTATCCTAATTCGACGGTGCAGTGTAACATTGTATAATCTGTGGTACAGTGCCTGCTAGTCTATAATATAATAATTAATTACACTATACACTAGCGACTCGCACCAGCTTTCAGACTGAGGGGATACAGAGTACACCTGTGCTTGCGCATACACTCGTGAACTATAATACTGCCTGAAACTTAGAAGGGCTAGAATCCAGAGCCGTAAAGACAGTTACTAAAAAAATCCGTAGATAAAGGTCAACTGTGATTGAAATTTATCTGGAGATCATTAACATTAAGCGTTTTTTTAGAATAAGATGATAAACGAGCACACAGTCCACCTGATGGTAAATGGATACTGCGGCACATAGACATCTTCATTTATCCTCGATTAAGAATCAAAATGCAGATGCGTTGTTACCTTTGAGGATTAAGGTGGAATGACTCGTTTCTAGTAAAAAGGGTGTCCGATTCACAACACTACGTGCGTTACATGGGGCAAGTAAATAAGTATAAGTAAATACCTCTGAGCGTACACCTGTGCTACAACAATATCTTCCTGTCACCTATTATGATATTACTGAAATCAGCCTCAGAACGTGACAATCAACACGTAAAACTTTACGTGTAACTGCGACAGTATTAACAATATTATCATCGACCGACATGAACTCTGCAGTCAGAGGCGGGAGACTACACTCCCCCACTCGGACAGCGGTTAGATAACTCAAAAACGACAGAAATGGCGATATGATAATTCATATAAAAATAAAAAACCACCATCATCATCCTCATCTTCATTGCCATTCCCTTTTTAAACAGCTCGCGGCCTGCAAACCCTAAGCAGATGAAGCTATAAGAGCTACATAGGCTAGCAGCACTTACATCTCAGACAATAGCTATTACGAATAGTGTTACAGCCTTTCAAAGTTCATTATGAGCATAGACCTTTACCGTTGTTTGCCTATTGGTAGAGATAGTTGCCATATTTGGTAGATGTGTTGGCAACCGCAGTTCTATATTTTTTTAATTGTTATTGGAATACGTTGCTGGCCATCCACGAGTTTATTTCCATCTGTCGCCTCTGGCTACAATGAAGAGACCGGGACAGTATGAGATAGTAACTATTCTTACAACACCACTACACTCTTTTACGTGGTAGAGTCATGCTG